CGTTCATCTTGCTTGTTAGAGGCCGCAGGCGTGCACAAGTAGTGGCCGGTGCCGTCCCGCGCCACAGCGGGCGTCTGGATGGAACCGCAGTTCACGCACTCGCGACTCTCGGGCAGGTCCTCCAGCAGGTCTGCGGTGAGAGCGGGGACGAAAGGCGGGTGAGACCGCGCCGCGCCCGCCCCACTACCGTGGCTCCCCAAAGACCACCCCACCCTCCCACCCCCGCACCCCACACGGTGCTGGTACTGACCACACCGGCCTGCTTCCCTGCGGACGCCCTTCCCCTCGGACCTTTCTGCTCAACAGCCAAAGCCCAGGCGGCCCGGTGATGTCCTAGGGACCTGCTTACCATTATTCCCTGCGCCCCTGGGCGCGCCCAGTAAACACCTAGGAAAGTAGGAGGCAGTGCTGCAAGCCCGGCCCCAGTCATTTGCCATCTACCACCAAGGACCTCAGGGTGGAGATGAGCTGTGGGGAGATCGATTTGGGTCCCCTGACCCCTTCTTTCCGGCTGTTCACAAGCTTTTCAAAACTGAAATCCATCATAATTACAGTACGCCACTTGCCAACCCCGAGCAGAGCACAGGGCCTTGACACGGATCACCGACCCCTGCTCCAGTCCGCTGCGAGTACCCCGGGACCCCGGGAGGCCGCCTTACTTCTTTTATCTTCCTTTTTTCTTTTAAAAAGTATTTCCTGTATCTGCTACTCTTCCTTTTCCCCAATAAAAAAAAATAGACCGGTGAGATTAGAAATACTGTTCTCAGAGCACTTACACCAATTAATTAGAAAATGATTCAGATCTCCTCAGGGGAAAAATACACTAACGTTAATAAGCAGAGATAAATGTTAAATTTTGTTTTCATGCCACAAGGACCAAATAGTAAAATATTCTGATTTTAAAGTGGGTCTAGTTGTTTCTACCTGCAAAATTTCTACAAACGGTTGCTATTTTATTGATTCAGAAAAATCACTAAGACCATCCCAGGGCTAAATAAAATTGTTTCCTCTTTTTCTACACTGAAATTTCAACTTATGCAATCTTTCTAAATTGTGTTTATGTCATTTCTACTTGGCTAGTTTTCAGAGTTCACAACTAACCTAAAACTGCTATCTAAAACAATCTTAAGAATAAATGGTTGTAATATTTATTACTTACCCTAAACTGGTTAGATATGAATGAAGAAATAGTATCTAAAATGAGATAAGTACTTATTAATTAAATAAGTACTTTTTATTAAATAGACTTTTTAAAACCATAAGTATCCCCTGTTTAGTGTTATTAATATTCTAGAGGGTTTAACTGTTCCAATTTGGCTTTCTTAAAGGATCATTTCTGAACCAATTTTTAAAGTAAATAAACTTTACACTTTAGAGTTTTACTTGAAGATTATGTGAGCTATCGAGCCTTTCTATTCCTCCCCATTCCTGTGCAGTTTACCATTCGTTTCTGCCATTAACTGTTTGTTGTAAAGATATTTATATATGTCTTTGGCATAACTCCACAAATACTATTTACCCTACAAAACAAGTAACTATCCTTCCTCAAGAAATAAGTTTAAAAGAAACTAGCATCCTACATAACTTGAGTTCAAAGTTGTCATGGGGATACTGCAACTTACAACACATCACAAAGATTTATTCTTCTCTGCCCTAAAAGCCACTATTGACTACGGTAATCAGTAAAATGCTCAGGACTTCAAGGACACTGTAGTCCAACAAGGTATTTGTCTTTGCTATTGACTGTAAAATGTTACCTATCAGTGCCTCTCTCATTAGAGGAGTGGGGCATTCCCTGGAGAACCCAGCCTGTGCCTGGCCGCCTTCCCCGAGATGGGACCAATAAGGAGAAGCCAGTGCGAACTCTCCAGGTAAATCTTTTTAGTCATCTGAAAACCCCAAGACAAAAACTTCAAGATCACTGTGGACTTTTTTTTAAGTATTAGTAAGCTTGCTTATTTTTAGGTAAGTAAAATCTACAGCTCCCATTTATCCTGACCTCTCCTCACTCCTCACCCAGCAGCTACAATCCTGTAACTGATTAAAGAAAAAAGTTTTTAAATAAAAATTATAAAATCTGATGGCGCTGGTAGCCCCTTCATTAATTTCCCCCTACACATCATCATCTCCCTCCTAACATGGCTGCCTTGAGTGTCCCTGGGGAATGCAGACACAGGGGAGAAGGGTTTAGCCAGCAAGTGTAGTCCCAGAACCCAAAGAATGGAACACAGTTATCTGGAGTTTAAGAGAGGGCTGGGCTTGGGGACTGAAGAGCCGTGAGCACAACCCACTCACTGACTACCAGAACCAGGGAGAGATGTAGGGAGCAGGTTTCTCAGAAACCTTCCCTGGGCAGGTTGAGAAAGCTCAGCACTCAGGTTTTAGCCCTCCTGTTTGCCCCAATCAATTAAAGAGTGCCTCCAGAAATGGTTTGTTTTTTAAAAAAAAAAAAAAATCCAAGTGGAGAAGTGGGGAATTTAGCTAGGAAGCTGGGAGGAGAGGGGCTGGGGGGTCGAGGTCTCTCTAGCAAGAGAACACCTGTGAGGACAAGCAAGGTTGGGGTTATTCGCCTCCACCACCACCAGACTAACTTATTCTCGCTCAGGAGTTTCCCACCTTCTTAACAGACTGTATGCAAAAGCCTGGGTGTTCCCAAACCCCTTCCCATTTTTGGTTGTTTGGTTTTTAAAAAAATATACTCAGGGTCTACAGAAAAATTTTCTAATTTTGCAGTGTCCTTTCCAGAAAGTAAAAATATTAGTGAAAGGATAGGCTAAGTTTTTTAAGAGAGAGAGAAACATCAATTTGTTGTTCCACTTATTGATGCATTCACTGGTTGCCTTCTTGTATGTGCCTTGACTGGACCAGAGATCAAACCCAAAAACTTGGCATAAAGTGACAATGCTCTAATCAACTACCCAGCCAAAGCAGGATAGGCTAAGTTTAAAATGAAAAAAAAAAACCTAACTTTCCTGCAATCGTACCTTATTGCCTCTAAAAGGATTTTTTAAACACTCCAGTTCTGTCTTTTGGACTACTTCTCTTTCTCGGTCCTGTGAAAGGCTGGAAGACGAGGGGAAAGGAACATGGAGATCACACTAAGATGTGTCATGGGACAGGCAGAGCCACACGACCTTGCTCCAACTGCAGCAGCACCCCCCACCCACCCAACTCCCACATCCTTTCAGATCCCCCGATAGACTCCCGACTGACAAACCCTCACACCCTCACTGCCATCCCCTGCCCATCCTTTGAAGAGCCCTCATCTCCCTTCTCTCTCCTCCTGAGAGCCAGGCGTGGGTCCCTATGCAGCAGGAAGGGTGGCAGTGCTGTGCTCTGAAGTCTCTACTCAAAGGAGCAAACCTGCAGGGCCCCTCTCCCCCACGGAGTGATGATGGTCTCCAGAGCCGGCTTCGCAGGGGAAGAAGAGGGAATTTTGAGACCGAAGTCTTAGAACGGGTGGAGGAAGAGAGGAAGAGAACCTTCGCTTTCAGGCCACTAGAGTTTCCAGCATGTCTTTTGAACACAAGGTTGGCAATGTCTCACTTGATCCTAACAGCACCCCTAGAAAACTTCCTGTCCCTAAATAGAGAGCTGAGGCGCTCAGACCTGGGGTGAAAGCACCAGGGAAAATAATTTAAGCTCACCCGCCTCCTCTGCGACTCCCACAGATCCCTTCAAACAAACAAACAAACAACGTCTCCCCCCCCACCACCACCACCACAAAAAATGTTTGGTGTTAGGAGTCTGTCAGGCTATCAAACAGGTTCGATTTAAAGTGAGAGGGACCTGGGAAAGCACCAGAATGCTGAAGCTAACCTAAGCAGGCCAGACAACACAGTTCACACCCTCCCCTGCTTCAGTGAACAAAACACTTCAAAATGGGCTCTTTCCAGGTAATCTGGCAATTGTTTTTTTCCCATTCCATCCGAAAATTGCCCCCGACACTGCCATGATCGAATTGGAAACTGAAAAATTGGTGGGCTGAACTCTAGAGGAAAAACAGATGTGGGAGCCCCAGACACCCGCCCAAGGATGCCAGGCCAAAGGGTCCCCCACCGGCTTTCCCTCAGGACAGTCACAGGCTGACCAGTCCATGCGTCCTCTCTTCTCTCCAAGTGTGGGTGTCCTTAGGTGCTGCTCCACCGTGGAGCCCTTTTAAATACTCTCCTTGGGGAAAACAACTCCTCACCTTTGGAGAGGTGAATTGAGTGAGACTGTATTTGAGGACAGGATCCAGCCTTCTCCTACCTACACTTACCCCCAAAAGGAGTCTCGCTCTTCCACTCACACAAAACTAGAGTCTTCCATGGGGCTCGGGCCCTGTCAGTTCCCTCCGGGGCTGATTCCTTCCTAGCACCCATCCCATTCACTAATCAAGTTCTTGGAGCTTCTCCGAGGCACTGAGGTATCTATACTGCACACGCGCATTCGGTCTCTTTCGTGGAAAGGAGCTGAGACAATCCGCAAAATAGAAGCCCCACATCCACGCTGCCAGACTCTGGGTCGCCCAGCTACAGGCTGACTTTTGCCCCCTCCCACCCCCCCCCCCACACACACACACAGGAAAACCCTGAAAACAGCGCTCAAGTGAAGGAGCTCTACACCCACACCTTCGCCCCAGTGCCCTGGGTCCCCAACCCCCACGCCGAGGCGCGACCCTTACCTGCGCTGGGGCCCCGCGGGCACGGGGAGCGGGCCTCCGGCGCGGCTCTGCAGACTTGTGCAGCACCGGGGTCTCGAAGTGTCCGGCGGCCATGCGGATGTCAGCGGCGCCCCCACGTAGGCGAGAAGGACTCGGGTGGTGGTGGTGATGAGG